ACGTGTAGCAGTGAGTGGAAATCGCACATACATGCCGTATGCGGGCGTGTCCACTCGGACGGGTATCCACGCTGCACAGGTATGAAGAGAAGAACGTTGTATGCAGGTAAGATACATGAACGATTTACCTCACTCTGCACAGCAGCATTTTCACTTTTCTACCCGCAAACGCGCGAACACACAGACATTAATTTACCTACACAGCAGTGAGTGTATCCCTGCGCGTGCGCGCGCATTTGTGTGTTTGTCCGTCTTTGAGTGTGCTTCTGTGTCTGTGTGTGCACATGTTATCGTAGAGGTTTCTGATGGTCACGAATCGATAAAAAAAAATACAATTATATTTTGTCATTACATTTGAATACAGATTTAGTTATCAGGTCTTAATACTGATGTGCGTGGTTGGGTGTCAGCGTGGGGGGAAGGGGATTCGTTGTCAATGATATCTGTATTGTTTCCTCTAACCAAGGGGGAGGCACACATTGTGTGCACGAAAGCAGTTGAAACATTGAGTTTACACCATAATTCAAACGAACAAATGTCCTGATTCGAAGACATGAATAGCTCCTAATTTATCGGGTTCCAGTAACTGTAAAAGGTTATGTTGATCAATTACCATCGTTTAGTTTTGTTTATGGGGTGGTGGCGGTTGGCAGCGTCATTTTCCCTTTTTTTCCTTTTTGTTTTTCTTTTCTTCTTCACTAAACGGGAGAAAGCGTGTTAGTCGTTCGCAGGGCGAAACTGACAATTATGTTATCTATATACAACGGCACAATTATATATATATATATATATATATATATATATATATATATATATATATATATATATATAAATATCAGATATATAAGATTCGTTGAGATTCGTTTACTGACCACATAAAATGTGAAAAGAAATGCAATTCAACGTTTGTCTTCTCTTTTTCCCTCTCCTTCAATCTGTCCTTCTTTTCCTCTTCCGATCCCCTTCTCCTTCAATCTGTCCTTCATTCTTTTCCTCGATTGCCGATTTCCCTCTTTTCCGATCCCTCATCCCTCGATCTGCCCTTCTTTTCCTATTCCGATCCCCATTCTCCCTCGATGTGTCCCTTTTCTCTTCCGATCCTCCTCATCCCCCGATCCCCTTCACTTTTCCCCTCGATCCCCCATTCTCCTCGATCTGTCATTCTTTTTGCTTCTTCTGAACTTTTCCCTCAATCTGTCCTCCTTTTCCGCTTCCGATCCCCTTTTCCCTTCCCCTTCTTCCGATCCCTTCCCCTCGCAAATCTGTCCTTCTTTTGTGTCCGATCCTCCTTCTCCTTTTCCTTCTTTTTCTTCTTGATCCTCCTCATCCCTCTTCTGATCTTTCCCTTCTTTTCCTCTTCTGATCCCCATTCTCCCTCAATCTGTCATTCTCTTTTCCTCTATTGAACTCCAATCTGTACTTCTCTTCAATCTGATCCTCTTCTTTCCATCTGTCCTTCTTTTCCTTTTGATCCCCCCTTCCTCCATCAATCTGTCCCTTTTTCCCTTCTGATCCCCTTTCAATCCATCTGTCCCACCTGTCCTTTTCTTTTAAATTTGATCCCCCTTCTCCTCAATCTGTCCTTCTTTTTTCCTTTGATCCCCCTTCTCCCTCAATCTGTCCTTCTGTCTTTTCTTTTCCTCTTCTGATCCCCTTCCCTTCTGTCCCTCAATCTGTCCTTCTCTTCCGATCCTCCTTCTCGATCTGTCCTTCTTTTTCCTCTTCTGATCCCCCTTCTGTTTCCTTTTCCTTCCGATCCCCCCTTTCTGATCTGTCCCCCCCTCCCTCGATCTGTCCTTCTTTTTTCCTCTTCTGATCCCCCTTCGCCCTCGATCTGTCCTTCTTTTCCTCTTCCGATCCCCTCCTCAATGTGTCCTTCTCTTTTTTCCTTTGATCCACCTTGTCCCTCGATCTGTCCTCTCTTTTCCTCTTCCCCCCTCCCTCGATCTGTCCTTTTTTCATCTTCTGATCCACCTTCTCCCTCGATCTGTCCTTCTCTTTTCCTCTTCTGATCCCCCTTCTCCCTCGATCTGTCCTTCTCTTTTCCTCTTCTGATCCCCCTTCTCCCTCAATCTGTCCTTCTCTTTTCCTCTTCTGATCCACCTTCGCCATCAATCTGTCCTTTCCTCTTCTGATCCCCTCTTCAATCTGTCCTTCTTTTCCCTTCCGATCCATCTGTCCTCGATCTGTTTCTTCTCCTTCCGATCCCCTTCCCCTGATCTGTCCCCCTTCTGATCCCCTTCGCCATCAATCTGTCCTTCTTTCCTCTTCCGATCCCCCCTTCTCCCTCGATCTGTCCTTCTTTCCTCTTCTGATCCCTCCCTCGATCTGTCCTTCTTTCCTCTTCTGATCCACCTTCTCCATCGATCTGTCCTTTTTCCTTTTTCTGGTCTTCTGATCCCTTCTGATCCCCTTCAATCTGTCCTTTCTTTCCCGATCCCCCTTCCTCGATCCCTCAATCTGTCCTTCTCTTCCGATCCCCTCTCCTCAATCTGTCCTTCCTCTTCCGATCCCCCTCTCCCTCGATCTGTCCTTTTTTTTCTTCTGATCCCCCCTTCTCCAATCTGTCCCTTATTTCTTCCGGTCCCCCCTCCCTCAATCTGTCCTTCTTTTCCTCTTCTGATCCCCCTTCTCCCTCGATCTGTCCTTCTTTTCCTCTTCCGATCCCCCTTCTCCTCAATCTGTCCCTCTTCCGATCCCCCCTTCAATCTGTCCTTCTTTTCCTCTTCTGATCCCCCTTCTCCCTCAATCTGTCCTTCTCTTTTCCTCTTCCGATCCCCCTTCTCCCTCAATCTGTCCTTCTCTTTTCCTCTTCCGATCCCCCTTCTCCCTCGATCTGTCCTTCTTTTTCCCTTCCGGTCCCCCTTCCTCGATCTGTTTCTTTTTTTCTTCTCCTTCTATTCCCCAATCTGTCCCTTTTCCTCTTCTGATCGACCTGTCCTTCTTTTTCTTTTGATCCCCCCTTTCCCTCAATCTGTCCTTCTCTTTTCCCTTCTGATCCCCCTTCTCCCACAATCTGTCCTTCTTTCCTCTTTAAATCTGATCCATCCCTCGATCTCTTTCCTCTTCGATCCTCCAATCTGTCCTTCCTCTTTTCCTCTTCCGATCCTCCTCATCCCTCGATCTGCCCTTCACTTTTCCTCTTCCGATCCCCATTCTCCCTCGATCTGTCATTCTTTTTTGCTTCTTCTGAACTCCCTTCTCCCTCAATCTGTCCTCCCTTTTCCTCTCTCGATCCCTGTCCCTAAATCTGTCCTTTTTTCCTCTTCTGATCCTAAATCTGTCCTTCTTTTTTCCTTCTGATGTGTCCTCAATCTGTTTTCCTCTTCTGATCCCCCTTCTCCCTCAATCTTGTCCTTCTCTTTTTCTCTTCTGATCCCCCTCTCCTCAATCTGTCCTTCTCTTTTCCCTATTGATCTGTCCCTCTTCTGATCTGTTTCCCCTCCATCTGTCCTCTTCCTGATCCCCCTTCTCCCTCCATCTGTCCTTCTTTTCCTCTTCTGATCCCCCTTCGCCCTCAATCTGTCCTTTTTTTCTCTTTGATCCACTCTTCACGATCTGTCCCTTCTTTGATCCCCCTTCCCTCAATCTGTCCTTTCTTTTCCTCTTCTGATCCCCTTCTCCTCGATCTGTCCTTCTCTTCTGATCCCTTCCCTCGATCTGTCCCCTTTACTCATCCGATCACCCAATCCCACGACCTGTCCTTCTTTTTCTCTCTTCCGATCCCCCTCCCTCCGATCCGATCTGTCCTTCTTTTCCTCTTCTGATCCACCTTCCCTCGATCTGTCCTTCTTTTCCTCCTGATCCCCCTTCCTCGATCTCTTCCGATCCCCTTCTCCCCTGATCTGTCCTTGTCTTTTACTCTTCTGATCCACCTTCGCCATCGATGTGTCCTTCTCTTTTCCTCTTCTGATCCCCCCCCCCCTTCTGTCCCTCTTTCCTCTTTTGATTCGTCCTGTCCTTCTCTTTTCCTCTTCTGATCCCCTTCTCCCTCGATCTGTCCTTTCTCCCTCGATTTCCTCTTCTGATCCCCTTCTCCCTCGATCTGTCCTTCTTTTCCTCTTCTGATCGATGTCCTCTTTTTCCTCTTCTGATCCCCCTTCTCCCTCAATCTGTCCTTCTCTTTTCCTCTTCTGATCCACCTTCTCCCTCGATCTGTCCTTCTCTTTTCCTCTTCTTTTCCTGTCTTTTCCCTTTCTTTACCTCCTTCTGATCCCCGTCCAATCTGTCCTTTTTCCTCTTCTGTCCTTCTCCCTCGATCTTTTCCTCTTCCTGGTCCCATCAATGTGTCCTTCTTACCCTTCTGATCCCCTCCCTCAATCTGTCCTTTCTTTCCTCTTCCGATCCCCTTCCTCAATCTGTCCTCTCTTTTCCTCTTCTGATCCCCCTTCTCCCTCAATCTGTCCTTCTCTTTTCCTCTTCCGATCCCCTTCTCCCTCAATCTGTCCTTCTCTTTTCCTCTTCCGATCCCCCTTCTCCCTCGATCTGTCCTTCTCTTTTCCTCTTCTGATCCCCTTCTCCATCAATCTTCCGATCCCTTCTCCTTCAATCTGTCCTTCTCTTTTCTTCTGATCCCCCCCCCTCAATCTGTCCCTTTTTCTCTTCCGATCCCCCCTTCTCCCTCAATCTGTCCTTCTTTTCCTCTTCCGATTCCCTCGATCTGTCCCTCATTTCTCTGTCCTTCTGATCCCCCTTCTCCATCAATCTGTCCTTCTCTTTTCCTCTTCCGGTCCCCCTTCTCCCTCAATCTGTCCTTCTCTATTCCTCTTCCGGTCCCCCTTCTCCCTCAATCTGTCCTTCTCTTTTCCTCTTCCGGTCCCCCTTCTCCCTCGATCTGTCCTCTTCCGGTCCCCTCTCCCTCAATCTGTCCCCTTTTTTCTCCTGATTCCCTCCCTCAATCTGGTCTATTCCCTTCCGGTTCTCCCTCAATCTGTCCTTCTCTTTTCCTCTTCCGATCCTCCTTCTCCCTCAATCTGTCTTTCTCTTTTCCTCTTCTGATCTCTCTTCTCCCTCAATCTGTCCTTTTTTTTTCTCAGCTTCGCTTGGCGTGCAGGACAGTTATGGATGATCTGTAAAGCAGAGCTAATGCAAGAAAGAAAAAAAGAAAGTAAACGGAACCTGAGATAACAACAACAACAATAATAATAATAATAATAATAATAATAAGAAGAAGAAGAAGAAGAAGAAGAAGAAGAAGACGAAGAAGAAGAAGAAGAAGAAAAATTAGAAGAAAAATAATAATAATAAAAGAAGAAGTAGAAGAAGAAGAAATAGAAGAAGAAGAAAAAGAAGAAAAATTATAAGAGGGAAAATACGAAGAGGAAAAAAATAATAATATAAGAAAATAAGAAGAAGAAGAAGAAAAGAAGAAGAAGAAGAAGAAGAAGGAGAAGGAAAAAGTAGAAGAAAAAAGAAACAAGACAACAGTACTGCAAAAATTAGTCATGTAGCAAAAAAAAATTTCAGATTTGAAGAGACCTGCAGTCGTAATGATGATTATCGGAAACTGATTAAAATAATAATAATAATAATAATAATAATAATAATAATAATAATAACAACAACAACAACAACAACAACAATAACAATAATAATAATAATAATAATAATAATAATAATAATAAATCTGAGTTCTCTTGGTCTTTTTTTATGAAAATGGTTACATTATTATTATTATTATTTTCGGTAAATTACTTAAACACACAAGTGCAATGAAATCTTTAAAAAATAATGGAATATCAAACTATAGATTTAGTTTTTGAAGGTTGAAAAATCTTTAATGATTTCAACCAGAGTTTTAGATTGGTAGATCGATTTTCATTTACAAAATACTAACAATGAATAAAATTGACAACGATTTTCAGCAAATCACTCAAAATGCACTTTTTTGACTGTTATATGATTTCTTAGTTCAATACCATTTGTGAAAAATATTTAAATTTTAAAACTTGTGATTTGTAAATTCTTACTTTGTTTTTTTTATTCAACAGTAATTTAACAAAAGTGTTGCAAAATTAGAAGATAATCTTAGAAATAGCAGATAAGAACAATAAAATAAGAATTCTAAGAAGGGTGCTTGAGTAAGAATTGACTTGCTGTCACTTGATATTGAATCAATCATCTTTTAATTATAGACAAATAATAATAAGAACTTGAAATTGATATATAAATGTGTTTATATATATATATATATATATATATATATATATATATATATATATATATATATATATATATATAAGAATTTTGAACAGAAATAGAAATGAAAAAATAATTTTAAAACTTTTTTAAATTTAAATTGATGAATTAATTTAAAACTCACACACACATATATATATATATATATATATATATATATATATATATATATATATATAGTTAGTTAGTTAGTTTATAAAAAAACTAGGTAATCCGTATGGATAGACCGAAGGAGTATAAAATCCAGAGAGCTCAATATAAATCCATGAGCTTGTTGGTATATTTGGTATTGTTGCTCCAAATAATAGAAACGGATGCAATCGGCAGATGTTTCCAAATTATGTTTGACCTAAACCAAGCTAAAGAAACTAAAGAAAGAATATTAAGAGTAAAAGAAACTTGGGAAAAGTTATTCTGTACAGAAAATAGTACAATTAATGAGTATTACTCACATATAAAAACTTTTTTTAATAACTTCTTAAGGAAAACCATTAGATCTCATGTGAAAGACTTGATAAATGATTCTATCAAAAACCAAGAGAAAAGAAAGAGAACCAAATTCATATTATTACTAATTACGTGAAAAAAAAGTCTCAACCACTATATCTAATAAGAGATACATACCAGTGTAAGATTTGTGTAGAATTTCAAATTATTAGTATTACAAACAATTAAAATAAAACGTTTTTCCAATCCTGAACGTATCAATTTTTCCAAACTGATCTAAGGTTCAAAAGAGAGAGATGCAAATTTGCCCATGCCAGTTAGCAGAATTCCACCAATTGTAATTGTTTACAAACACAAGACATACTAAGGAACTAGTAGTAATCGTAGTTGTAAAAATCATATTAGCAGTTTTCCTTGCAGCAATAATGCAATAGCAGCAATAAGAGTTCTAATGCAAGAACATGTAACATTATCGCTTAGTTAGAAGTTGGGGTACATATCCCCGTGGGTGTGGTAGAAAACTGAACTCG